AATAAAGCCCTTTGTGGTTCCCAAGACCGGGGTTCTCAGACACTGCCTCCTTTGTGTGTCTGGAAGCCATTCAGGGCTTGCCAGTGCAGTGTGTGGTAACACTCCAGGGCTCACTTGCGGGTCTGGGTGGCTGGCAGCGTGCCACCTGAGCTGGAGGAGCCTAGAGAGCAGAGAGCACCCACTGGCCTTCCTTGCAAGGGCCTGCAGATCCTAGATCATCAAAACCTTTGGTGCCAAGCCTAGCTCTCAGGTTGGCAATTACATGTGTCCTTGAAACATGCCCCGGATAGTTGTAGCTGGGGGTGTGTTTAAACACACCTCCTTCCAGATAGAATGCAGGAATAGCCCAGCTGATGGCGTGGCAAACTGCACTCTGATCGTGTGTCACTTCCTTGACGAAGTCTGTGACTTACGGGGGGCGGGGGGCATTGAGCTCCAGGTGGTGCCTGCTCATTTGAGGCTTCTTTGATCTTGACAGAAAGGCACACGCCCCTCCAAGTCAGTCAGTCAAGGCAGAGTCTGGTGCAGCCTTGGGAGAAGTCCAAGGAGGGACGGAGAGGCCACCTGAGAACCTAGTGGCACCAAAGGAGCCAGCAAAGAAAGTGTCCCATCTCAGGAAGTGCCACGGCAGTACACAGAATTTGACAGGACAAAGGGAGCGGGTGTGAGGGAGCTAGCTGCAAGGAGGGCTGGGGTACACGTGGGGGAAGTGGGGTACGCAGAGATCCTGTGGATTCATGAGAGGGTCCTGCTGTAGGGAGAATAACTAGGCTCTAGGCCAAAGAGTCACTTCCTTCCATGAGCTAGGGATGGCGGTCAGTTGTACACAGTGAGGTTCGGAGGGGCCTGTGGAGGATGTATGGCAGCTGAAGTCAGGGTAGCAGGGGAGACTTGAGCACAATGTTGACTTGGGGGGCAATGCTTCTGCCCTTTGCATCAACACACAGCCTTGGAGGGTGGGCAGCCCCAGGCAGCCTTGGTCTAGGCTTCCTCCTTGGTAAGCCAGGTGATGTGTGTAGTTGAACAGTGGCCTCCAAGTTCATGTCATCTGGAAACAGGGTCTTTGCAGCTGTCGTTGAAGTGCGGTCACCCTGGGACAGTGTTCCAGCTAGCAGGGGATGCCAGTGTGGGGGTGGCAGATGTCCCTCATCGGGCCATGTTTACTGAGAAGGTCAGAAGGGACCTGTCTCGGGTGACTTGAGTTTTGGTCCTTTGCCACTGAAGCCTGAAGAGTTCATCTTTTTGAGGGTACTAAGGCGTACCAAAAGGGGAGCAGTGGGGCTGGGAAGAGGCCCTCCGATTCTCCTTACTTGGGGAGAGTCTATGCATCCTGGTTCTCCCTTCAGTACCTGTGTGAACAGCTCAGCAGGACCCCAGGTATGGAGCTGAGCAGGTGGCCAGGAGCCTGAGCTCCCATGGGTAGCCAGCCTGCCGTGCCTTCTTTTGGGTGGTGGCAGGCTGGATGATGGGTACCTTTGTCTCCTTTCCTCATTTGCTTGCTGAAGCTTAGTGGGGAAGTTGACCCTAGTTCCAAGGGAACTCCAGAGTCTCAGTCTGGGGGGACCCTCTCGAGGGAGCCCTCAGGGAGCCAAGAATTCCATGTAAAAGCATGCTTCCTGCCTTCTTCAGCCTCTAGGTAGCCTGTGTCCACCCAGGTGCGTACCCTCCTGAATCCATGGCATTCCTCCCCCGCCCCCCTTCTCTGCAGCCTCTAGCAGCAGGAACAGGGCTGGGCATTCCCAGAACAAAAGGAAGTCAGTGGCTTTGCTCTCTATCTTCCTTTCTTCTTCTTTTTTGCTTTATTTTTATTTGTGTGTGCACCCACATGCTTGTCGTGTACCCACGCGTGTGCAGAAGCCAGAGGAGGACATCAGATGTCCTCTGTCACACCTTAGTTCCTTGAGACAAGGTCTGTTATTAATACTAGAGTTAGGCTGGCAACCAGCAAGCCCCAGTGCACCTCCTGTCCCCAGTCCCCGCAGCACCAGGGTTACAGGTATGCACGTGGCTGGGCTTGCCTTTTTACGTGGGTGCTGGGAATTTGAACTCAGGTCCTCATGCTTGTTAGCAAGACCACTTACACACTGGGTTCTTTCCCCAGCCCCTGATCTTAGTTTTCTCAATTAAAGCCATAGGCACCAAAGTTCCTGGAAGTGGGCTGGGGTGCTGGTATTCATTGAGAGAAGGTGGTTGGGGTTTTACAAGACAAAGCCTTCTAGGATGAATGGATATAGTTCCATGTCCCCGAATGCACCCTTAAAAGTACTTAGTACATTCTGTGGTGTGTGCATCTTACCATAGTAAATAAACTGCTGGAGCAAAGACATTGGAAGGCACTGTGGGGCATTGGAGAGAGACTCGCTGAAGTCACTCTGAGCCAGCCCCCTGGTGAAGCTGTATGTCTTCTCATACCTGTTTGCACAGTGTGACCATAGGGCTGTGGCTCTTTGCAACTGCTGTCCCGTATGAGGCCACAATAGACATGCCATCTGCTCTGAGCATGGCTGGTAGTGAGTGAGGGTGGTACACAGTGAGGCTTTCCACACACAAGGTGTGCTCGCTCCGTTGTATTTGTGGCGGGATCAGACCCCACAAGGAGGATCACTGACTTTGCGGACGTCTGTGCCCTAGGATCCCGGATCACCTGCAGTATTAGTGTGTGTTGGTTTCCTGTCCAGTAACTCAGCCAGTTTCTGTGTGAGCTAGGAAGTGGTCCCCCCACTCCACCCCAGTTTTGTCACGCAGCCCTGGAAAATGTGAATCTCTCACTCAGGTCGGCTATCTGAGTTCCCTATTGCAGTGTGGATGTTTTTGCTTTTAAATGTTTGAGCTTTTTATGGGTTTATTTTTTCACAGTTGTCTAATAGTCTATGCTTTTTTACTTTGTAAATTCATTTTTCAGTCTCTCTAAAAAATTTTTTTAGACTTATTTATATCTTGTATATGAGTGTTTTGTCCGCATGCATGTGTGCACCGTGTGTATGCCTGGTGTCTACAGAGACACCAGAAACAGAGTTTCAGATGGTTGTGAGCCACCATGTGTGTGCTGGAAACTGGTCCCCTAGAAGAGCCGTCGATGCTCTTAACTCTGCTGAGCCATCTGTCTAGCCCCTCCTCTCCTTCCCTCAATGTAGACCTTTATCTCCTCTCTGGTAGCTTTCTGTATATGTTTTTGAGTTTAATGTCTCTTTGATCCCCCCCTGAAATTCATAGTTCCAGTATGTGATACGTTTCCATGTGGCTGGTGTGTTCTCCCATCCTGAGTGACTGCTTGCCCCACCCACCACACTGTCTACAACTGGGTGTAGGTTAAATTCCATTCCCCTGGGGGTCTGCTTGCACTCAGAGGCCTTCAGGCCCTCTGACAGGCTGCTGGTCTCCCCTGTTCTGCAGTTCAGAGCAGAACAAATTCTTTTTCTTTCCTTCTCCCCCACCCCCACTTCTTTTGATTTGTTTCCCTTTCTTTCCTGACAGGATCTCATGTAGTCCAGATTGGCCTTGAACTTGCTATGTAGGAGAGGGTTTTGAGTCTCTGATCCTCCTGCCTCCGTCTCCCAAATGCCAGGATGACAGGCAGGTATCGCCACAGTGCTGGGGATTGAACCCACGGTTCCATCCATGCTAGGCAAGCGTTCTGACAACTGAGCTATTTCTCCCTGACCTCCGGGGCAATGTCTGATTCATTCTGACTGAGGTCTTACGGGTTCCTCCATTAGTGAGTCTAGCCGTAGGCCTTGATTGCCAAGGAGAGCAGGAGCCTTGGGGGCAGGCAGGCTTGTCCGTTGCAAGTCTGTGTCCAGGCTGTGATTTGTCTGTCCACCGAGGGCTTCCGTGCTGCTGCCCCAAACAGGAAGCTCTTCCCGCCTTGCTGCACTGAGTCCACCCAGTTCGCTCCCCCGGTTTTCCTTGCGTGAAAACAATTCTGTGGTTGACTGGGCCTCGGCCCAGGCCTGGGGTCAGGCCCTCAGCATGTGTCATCTTGAATTCCCAGAATACTTTGACCTGGTCAGGATTATTTCTGTTTCAGAGACAAACATCTCTGCTTGGAAAGGAGGTTATGGTGGAGCAGATTGGAGCCCAGGCGTTTCACTGTGCTGCACCCTGGGGCCCCAGGGCTCTTGAAGATGCCAGGGTGGAGTCTGTGGGTCCTGACCTGGAGTCCTAGACCTGGAGCTGTATGGTGGAGCTGGGCCCTCCCCTGCCTGGTCAACTCTGCTATGGGCCCGGGAATGAAGCCAGCTGGACACTGGGGAAAAACAGCCCTTCCCCCTACCTCCTGGGGATTTTGAGGGTTGCTATGGCTCTCCTGGTCCAGTTAGGATAGAGGGGTGGAGAGCAGGCCACCAGGGGGTGTCCATCATTTGGTACACATTGTCTGTTAATTTACGTGAGCTTTGTATGCGGCACACAGCGTGTAATGTGACATGGTACCAGTCCTTTGCCTAATTTCTAAGTCCATTTTTGGGAGGGCTTTGTTGTGGGAGCTGAGTCTCCAAGACCAAGCCAGTATTTGATGGTGAGAGGGGAAAGTTGGAAAGACAAAAGAATGGATGGATTCTGTCCCTGCCCATTTTTCTGCAGGGTGTCTTCAGAGGCAGAGGTGATGCTCCAGCCCAGCCTTGGTGCTGTCCCAAGGCAGTATGTAACCAGTTTCCAATCTTAACTCAGCATTTTGGAGAGTGGTCAACCTTTTCGTTCCCAGCTCTATTTGTCCCTATAGCCTTAAGCCTGTCACACTGTGGTGACCCAGACTAGATCCTCTCTGTGGCCAGGAGGACTCCACTGACTACCTGGGCTTTCTTCTGCTCTGTTAGGACTTTGCACGGGAAGAACCTCAGCAGCTGGCCCTGTCGTCTGTGATTGGGTGGTGACTGGTCTGGTGATATGTGCCCATTCATTGTAGAGCTGGGTGCTTACCGTCAGCCTCAATGTAGAGACGGAACCAAACATGGTGGGGCAATAGGCAGCGTGCTCCACTGACGTGCTCCATTCTCTTGCAGGGAACCCTCCCGTCATGTCCAGGTGAGGCCGAGAAGTGCCGTGCTGAACATGCTCAGGAGGCTGGATAGGATCAGGTTCAGAGGCCACAAGAGAGAGGACTTCCTTGACCTAGCCGAGTCCCCAAATGCCTCGGACACCGAGTGTGGAGACGAGATACCTCTGAAGACACCACGGCCCTCACCCCGGGACAGTGAGGAGCTCAGGGACCCTGTGAGTATGTGCCAGTCCCTGAGTCTTGCATCTCTTGATGCGGACAGCAAGGATAGTATGCCCAGTTCATAGGTGATCAAGCTGAGTATGGACATGCGAAGATTCATGCCTGACCAGGCAGTTTAGACATTCACGGAGGCCTAATCCTCTGTCCCCTGTTGCCTGTGTCCTTCAACACACAGAGTCAACAGGCCCTTATCTCAGTGGGACTTCTATACTAAGTTTTGTCTAGACACTGCATTACTTTGTCTTGTTTGTTGGTTTGGGAAACTTCTCATATAAACACAATGTTGTAACCTGGCTTGACCCCTTCAGGAACATTGGTGTGGGGATGGGGCAGGGTGAGGCTGGTCTAGAAGCTGCTGGCACCCAGCTTGTCTGTCCATGCCAGGATGTGTGTCACTGACCCAGCCACTGGCTAAGCCCTCATTAGCCCTCACAGTGGCCAGTGGCAAGGAGCCTTTTGTCCATGCATCAGATATCACTGGAGAGCCTTAGCCAGGGTGAAGCTTTGGTGTGAACAAACCAAGGGCCCCTGCCTTCTAGAGCTTGTATTTCATGGATGTCGGGCGGGGAAGGGTAGAGTCTAGCTGGACCAGTGAGTACCTTGCAGACTTTCCTCTGGACAGGACTCATCAGTTTCAGACTGGCTGTGGTGTGCACATCGACTCAGCCTCCCTCCCTACTACCCCAGAATGTACTTGATGACCATTGGTTTTCCCTCTCAGCCCTGAGCCTGGTACCCTTTCCAGATGTGGTTGTAATCACCAGCCTTCCCCTAGCTCCTATATTATTAATGCTTCATAATAGGATGGTGACTGTGTACTGCTCCTGGCAAGATTAATAATTTACTAGTGCTGCCTCCTAAGAGCCTGGCTGTGTGCCCTGTGCTGCCTGGCCAGGTGGGTGGGGTCATTTGCCCTCCAGGCTATCCTGATGTATTAGACCCGTGCTGTTCCCAGAGTTCAAAGGCCATGGCTAGTCCTTCAGCTTTTAGTCTAGGGGTGGGCCAGGCATCTAGCTTGCAAAAGGCCATGCACCTTTTGCCGGTGACATACAGAGCAATAGAGGACAGAAATCTGTATCTTGTCCAGTGCTGGTATGGATGTGTGGAAGCCACAAGTCTGGGTGAGATGAAAGTCTTTGGGCTGAGCTCTTAGGGCTGCTCAAGAATTGCCCTGCACCTACACACACACACACACACACACACACACACACACATACACACACACACATATTCACAAGCATTCATACACATGTATACACACATGCATACACACATACACAGAAATATACACATGCACACATATGTGCATATGTACAAATATACATACACACACATACAGACATGTACACACGCTTGCATACCTGAGTGCCTACACACACACACACACACACACACGATACAAGATTCATGGTTCAGCGGCCAAAGGAACCCATTCAGAGGCTGTTCTGGCTGTCAGTCTGGCTGTCCATCTGTGTGTCTAACCAGGATTGTATAGTAGACTGTAGTAGCAGGACTAGACCTGGGTCCATCTACCTGAGTGTGTGCATGAGGTGGTGTGGAGAGAAGAGGGTAGTACGTGGGTCTCCAGGGAGAGCCACCCCATGTCACAGGCTCACTTGGCCACGTAGCAGCTGCAGGGGCTAGCTAGACTGCAGTTAGAGTTTCCTGTTATGCAGACCACAGGTGCGCTTACCCTATGTGGCCTACCTGTGATGTCTGGCCATCCCTGGACCTCCTGCTGGTGACATAGCTAGGCATGGGGCTAACAGAGATTCTGTGGCCATAGTAAGCCCATGGCTTCATGCCATGTGACCTTCATGGCACACATGGGCTTGAGTATTAGTTGATGGTAGTTAGGTAGGGCGTGGCACATTCTTTTAGGTCAGATTTTTGTGGCAACATTGGTTTATATTGGGATACCTGGTGAGTGGAGAGGACAGGTAAGGGTGTGACCTTAAAATTTCCATACCCTACCTTACTTGTCACAGGGGAAAGGTTCCTGGTGTGTTTTAGTCTCCATGGGTGCCATGGTGGGTGAGTTGACCTTAGGCAGAAGGGAGCTGGCTCAGAAGGCGCAGGTTCTGTGCTGACTAGAGAATTGGGAGGGGAGATTGCAGGATTTGGGGGTCTTGACTAGAGACAGAACATCTGGATTTAGGGGCTACTAGAAGGGACAGTGCTGAAGCTAGTTATTTTAGGGTAACTAGCTTGGAAGTATAGTTTGGAGAATGTGGGCTCCTAAAGGAGGCAGAAGAGCAAGAAGGGACATGCCCATGCTAGGGCGTGGTGCTAGTTGGAAGGGCCATCTTTGATGTGTAGGAAACTCCCTGTGTGACAGGAAGGTCCTGGGAGAGGTGTTGATTTAGGAGGTAGGCTTGGCATTGGTAGCTGAGGGCAACTACTGCAGAGGCCTTGGCAAAGTCAGACCTGGGACCTAGGCTCTTGTGCCTTCCAGGATTAGGGAGCCCTGTGGAGTAACTGCTCCAGGGACCTGGATGCCAGAAATTTGGGAAATCCCTGCATGGGTCCAGCCCTAGCTCAGGGCATTGTGCAGAGTGCCGGCTCACTGGTTGTAGAGGGACCAGGTGATGCTATCCCTTCACCCACCACTCAGCACCCACAGTTTTAAAAAGGGACATGTTGGTGTTTGTTCTGGGCATGCTTTGAGGCTTAACTGAGCTTGGTAACTAGTTGGACCATTGTTACCATGCAGGTAGGCGTTAGCACCCATAAACGAGTGGCTCAGAGGCTCCTCCCAGGCCAGGTTCTTTTTAGGGCCTTGTTCTTATAATAAGTCCTCTCCAGGGACTCCAGGTCAGGGGGCAGTGGTAAATAGTCTTCCACGCCTGTGTTGCTCCTTGGGGGTGCAATAACCCTTTGCCTTCTATAGCCTCCTGGAGAGATTGGGAGCCCAGATAGCAACACAGAGGCCTCAGTGGTTGGTTGATTTGATGCCCTCATAGGAGCACCCTTGCGGCATTACGGGGGCCATTGTATGAGTTCGAGTCAACAATCTCTAGTGTACACTTTATATTGTGCAGCCCAAGAGGGACTGTGTGTGCTTTAATGGTCACTGGTAGATTCCCCAGCCTCAGTTCTGCCTACTACCAGTCTGTTACATCTCTGTAGCTTTGCATATTAAAAAATATTAGCTGGGCGTTGATGGCGCATGCCTTTAATCCCAGCACTTAGGAGGCAGAGGCAGGTGGATCTCTGTGAGTTTGAGGCCAGCCTGGTCTACAAGAGCTAGTTCCAGGACAGGCTCCAAAGCTACAGAGAAACGCTGTCTTGAAAAAAAATTCCCCTGGGCAAAGTGCTATATATCTTTATTCCTAGAACATGGGGAGGTAGAGACAGACAGTTCTCCATGACTTCAAGAACTGTCTATATAGATCTGTCTGTCTGTCTGTCTGTCTGTCTGTCTGTCTATCTATCTATTTATCATCTATCTGTGTATGCTCTTGTGCTTGTCATGCCGTGTATATAGACATCAGAGTACAATTTGTGGGAGTTGATTCTTCTACCATAGGATTCAAACTCAGGCTATTGGGCTTGGCTGCAAGTGCCTTTACCTAATGAGCTGTTTTACTGGCCCAATGTTTCCTATGCTGTACATTTTCCTGTAAAATGACTGGCATAGCGTGTGGCCATTGGTATCTGGCTTTCTTGCCTTTTTGTGGCTGAATTGGGTCCTGTGGTTTGGTCTGGGAGTATAGCTCAGTGATGGAGTGGTTGCCTAGCATGCGCAAGAGCCTGAATTCAGTCCCAAGTGTATCTGTATGCCTAATCTTCTGGAGTGGTGGCATGTATCTAATTCCAGCACTCGGGAAGCTAAAGCAGGAAGATTACCACAAGGCCAGCCCAGGTCATATGGCAAGTACTGGGCTAGCTGTAGCTACATAACAAGACTCTGTCTCAAAAACAAAACAAAATAACAATAACAAACCCCTAAAATAAATAAAACAAGCCCCAGGGTTTGGATGGACCTTGCTTGCTTATCCATGCATACGCTGGTAGACATTGGGTTTGTTCCCACTGTGGAGCTCTGGCAAACAGCAGAACACCTGGGAATATAGTTTCTCACAAACATCTGTTTGCATCTGGAGTCCCTGGGTCTTGTGGAGGCCCTGTGCTTCTCAGGGACTGCTATACTGTTTTCCCAGGTGACAAGACCATTTTTCATTCCCATGTGTGGGGGTCTGTGGATTCCCCTGGTTGAGGTGGCCCAGATGCCCCATTCACCCGTGCTCTGTGGAGCTCTCTGAGGGATGTTGAGCTGCCTCACTTAGCAGGCATTCAAGCTCCCACTGTGGAATCTGTTTCTAGTGACCTCCCCACTGAGGGACACTGGTTCCTTCCAACTTGCAGTATTGCTTGGTCTGTGAGTCACGTGGCCCACATAGGCCACATCCCACTCCTATGAGAGAGTGACGGGTCCTTCAATGGCTGCTGAGAGATGCCCTCCTCCAGGCAGTACAATTCATCCCTATGACTGGCTGAGAGGCCCATGCTCCCTCACCCCCACCTTGGGTTCCCTCCAACTCCCGTGTCTGCTAATTCAGGCAAAAATGACATCTCAGCTTGCCTGGCTTGTGATCATCTTTATACTCACTTTATTATGTAAATTTACAGTGGTTTTGTCACAGCCTCGGTTCATGTCCAGACCCCTGGTTTCTAGGTCACAGTTATTCCTCCTGAGTCTATGAAAAGGACAGCTAGGGAACCATGATGCCTATAGAAGAATTCAGCTCAGAACTTCGGCACAGTGTCCTGGAGGCTTGTCATCCCCGTTGGAGGCCTTGGTCACTTGGCCAGGCCCCTTAGACCTAGCTTCACTGCTGCTGGGGTCAGGGAACTCCCCTGAGCTGTGGCCTCTGCTGCATGGAGGCCACTAGAATTCACAAGCTGAATGGAAACCCTGAGACCTGGGCGTCGGGATACCCATTCAGGGATGTAAATGGGTGCATTCAAGTGGAACTAGCCATCTAGAGATGAACTGGCTGCTTTTGGCAGGAGAGTGCTGAGCTCATCAGGTTGACCATTCTGTCCCTGCCCCCCTCTGCCTTCTCTGCCAGCCTCCGCACCTGCTGCCTGCCTGTTGTGTGGCCACCCTGCTCCCTTCCAGGTTGGGAGGCTCTGGTTCCTCTCCACACTTCCTTCTTGCTCTCATCACCTTGGGGTCCACCCTTCCTAGCCTGGCGTGCTGAGAATAGAGTGGCATCACTGAGTCTGGTTTCCTGGGCTTTGAAGCTGATATTACCTGTAGACTCTGCAACTATGACAGCCAGGGATCTGGAGTTGGCTCCGCTGCTAGAGGGCTGGCACGTACAATCAGGATGTCTCTGCTGGGTAGTGCTTGCTTCTTGTTCATGGGGTCTTCTCTGCTATGTAACTCATGACCAATGACCTAACGGCTGGGTATCTCCTGGGCAGGGCCTCATTTATCCTGCATGGGCTGTGCCCATACCTATGGCCTGGCTCACCGAGGACTCCTGCTGCAGGGCCCCTTGACAAATGTGGCAGCAGACAGGCCTGCCAAGCCCAACATAGTACTCCCGCTGTAAGCCTGCTGGTGCTGTGAGCAGAGCTAGTGAAATATTTAACAGTTTCCTTGTAGGCGAGATCAGACCGCAGTCAGAACATGGGGCATTTCTTAGCGATGAGGCGGGAACAAGGCTGCAGAGTTCCTGGGCTGCTCAATCCCATTTCAGTTCAGCATTGATGACCTCCTTCCTAAGATAGGGCTTGTCTTAACATGCTGGGGGCAGGGAGGCTAGGCGTGACTCAGACACACAGGGAATGAGGAGAACTTAAGAGAAGGTGCATAGACAAGAGGGCCAGAGAAGAGATGGAGACAAGGAAATCAGGGTGCACATGCTGGCACCAGCCCGGGTAGAAACTCTGAGGGGAACGTTTAATTGTTTCCCGTTCAGGAGGTGGTAGAGCCATGGGAGATCAAGAGGGGGCAGAGTTAGGAATTAGGTGCCCGCCAGGACCATTGGTCATGTGGCCCAGAACTGGGTTAAAGATGAGCACATCGCATGTGTCCCGAGGTTTGCATTTGAGATTGCATGAGTTCCAGGGTCCCTTCACAGACAGCCGCTTCAGGTATCTTATTTACCCGTCTGCCTTTGATGTGTCAGGAGCTAGTTGAGAACATCAGAGCTAGAGACAGGCAGCCATGTAGGGTTTTGACTGCCCGTTTCATAGCCTGTGTATATGAAGTCCTGCACACAGAGCACTGCAAAGTCTCAGTGGACTCTCCTGGCTCAGTATGTCTAGTCGAGCATTGGCTGGGTCTGAGCCACCTCTGGACAGATGTCTGCATGGTGTTTCTGGACTGGAGGGTCATCTGGCTTCCCACCCAATGGTCAACTTTCTCGGGATCCACAATTATGTGACATAGGACACAGGTGGTGATGCATGTCTTCTTTGGGAGTTTTCGTGTCCTAGGCAGGGGTTTTCGAGTGCTGGGGTACTCATGAGCTCCTAGCTCTTCTAGAAAAGGTGCCTCTTAGTTGGATTTATTATACAATAAAATTTATCTGGGGAGTGACAAACAGAGGACCCCTTGGGTAGACCACACAGCAGAAGTTACTGTGCCTTCAGCCACCCCAAGCTTCCACCATGCCACTATACCAAGGGACCAGGTCCATATCCCCATAAACAGGTATCCTAATAGGCAGACAGCTGGAAGTGCAGTCCAGACGCCCTGGCAGGGTATCCATCGCCTGGAGGGGCTTTGTGCAGAGCCTCTGGTCTCTACCCGCCCCTTCATCCTACGCCCCCCTCCCCGAGGAATATCCGTATCCACAGTGCTCCCCCAGCTGGCTTGTCTATACACATATCCTGTTACTTAGGAGAGGTTTGGGAACCCACCAAGCTGGTCAGGTCCCCTCTTTTGCTTGCAGGGCTCTAGCGTGCCATTTTTGCCATGTCGATAGCAGGGTACAGCTGTGAGATGACCACTTGAGTTCCCACCGTGGCCTGGGAGGCTGTGCAGTGATGGGTGGGGCTGCTTTCTTTTCCTGTGGTCATCAGGATGCATGGCTGTGTCAATGGCATCGGCAGTGGAAGCTGTGACTAGAGCCAGTCCTTAGTCAGTGGGACAGGATAGTGATAGAATTTGCTCTCTGGGGAGCCAACGGGAAGGGCCTGGTGTGGAGTGTGCTTATCTTGGCTCCTCGTAGGACCCACTTAGAAGCTGTTTTCCCCTCTGATCTACTCAGTGTGGGATAGACACCTCTAGGATACCATTAAGAGGTCTGCTCTGTTTGAGTCATAGTGTACTCCAAGCACCAGGACAGTGGCATGGATCTTTCTCTCTGTAGAACCACAGTCAGTACTGCGATCATCACGAGGCTTAGTGCTAGCTGGGGATGATGATACACACTCAGGAGGTGGAGGCAGGAGGATCATGAATTTGAGGCTAGTCTGGACTGTATTACGAGACCATCTAAAAACAAAATAACGTAAATGACGTTTAACACTTTATTTAGTGTTTTAAACCCTTTCCATTTTTAAGTGGTTATGTGTGATGTGCATGTTTGAGGGTGTAGATGTGTGCATGTGGAGGCACGAGGTTGATGTCAGGAATCATCCTCCATTGCTCTGCTGTATTCACTGAGGCAGGGTCTCTCAATCAAACCCAGAGCTCAGTGATGGTGACTCTTGCTAACCTATCTGCTCTGGAGATTCCCTGTTTCTGCCTTCTGAGGCTGGCATTACAAGTAGGCTACCATACCCACCTGGGATTTATGTAGGCTCTGGGGATCCGAACTCTGATCCTCATTCTTGTGTGGCAAGTGTCTTGACCACTGAGCAATGTCCCCATTGTGTAGGGTTTGGTGTTTGTGTTCTTTCTTAAGTCTTCGTATCAGGTCTGAGGAGATCCACGCTGTCTGAGATCCTGAGGTGAGCGGGTGTGCAGGCACACAGTTGTAGAGCCCATGTCTCTTTGTCCCCTAGGTTCAGGAAGATGCTCTTGGGGGCCCTAGGGCCACTGTATTGACTGTAATGTGCTTTTCCTTGTGACCCATCTGCACTAAAGCACCAGAGGTTGTGCCTGCCATTCCAAGGTTCTGGGGCCCCCTAAAACCAACTGGGATCAAGCAAGGCTGCTTTGGTGTGGCCCTCTGAACTCTTGGTGTTTTCCTTCCAGGCTGGCGCAGGGACCCTCATCATGGCAGCAGGTGTCCAGGACTTTAGCAGGACAGAGTTCGATCGGCTGAACGAGATCAAGGGTCATTTGGAAATCGCCTTACTGGAAAAGCACTTTCTTCGTGAGTACAAGAGAGTACTTATGGGGGATGGGCCACTGCTGAATGAAGGCCGAACTGGGAGTGCTATGGTATGGCCACGGGACAGGCGTGGGTGGGTCAGGCATGTGCGAACATAGGTGTGTGTGGGGACAGGTATGAGCATAGGTGTGTGTGGGATAGGTGTGAACATAGACGTGGGAGGTAGGTGTGAACACAGGTGTGTGTGGGCATAGGTGTGAACATAGGTTGTGTAGGATAGGTGTAAACATAGGCGTGTGAGGGGGATAGGTGTGAACATAGGCGTGTGTGGGCATGGGTGTGAACATAGGTGTGTCAGGGAATAGGTGTGAGCATAGGTGTGTGAGGGGATAGGTGTGAACATATAGGTGTGTGAGGGGGTAGGTGTGAACATAGGCTGTGGGGATAGGCGTGAACATAGATGTGGGGGGGATAGGCGTGAACATAGGCATGTGTGGGCATAGGTATGAACATAAGCATGTCAGGGGATAGGTATAAACATAGGTGTGGGGTATAGGTGTTAAATAGGTGTGTGTGGGCATAGGTGTGAACATAGGGGGATAGGTATAAACATAGGTGTGGGGGATAGGTATTAAATAGGTGTGTGTGGGCATAGGTGTGAACATAGGTATATGGAGATAAGTGTGAACATAGGTGTGGGGGGGATAGGCTTGGCCAGAGGACATGGCCTTGGATGTCCCCACGTGATACTTCCCCTCTGAACATGTGACTGTTGCCTGTTGCCTCACAAAAGCCAACCCTGGCCTGTGCTTTGCAGGTGGGATGAGGGAGCATCAGGAGTCTGGGAAAGGAGGGGCCTATTCCATGAACTTGGTTGGTTTCCGTGGCTCAAGCACAGATTACTCAGAATTTTCAGAGCTCCTTTGAGGAATCTGAAGCAATCTGTCCTGTTATGCACTGGGTCTGCGGGGAGCACCTTGGGACCCTTTCCCTCATGGCTCCTGCTGGCCAGGTTCTGATCTGTGAAGTAAGGAGGAGGTGGTTTTGGCAGAACAGGAGCATTTGGAGTCACCATCCAATAGGATCTCACGTTTGGTCTTTCTCTTGACTTCAATGTCCTTCTGGTGAGGAAACTGAGGCACGGATGACTAAGTCATCCTACCACATGGTGGGAGTAGTAAGAACTTAAACCAACCTGGCTAGCTCCAGAGCCTGTGCTCGTGGCCCCGATGCGTGATAGTGTTGTCTCGGTTGATGCTTTGCTTCTGAGCTTCTGAGAAGCAAGTACAGGAAGAGAGTGCCAGTCCTGCTTGCCCAGAGCTGGTCACTGAGAATCTGTGGGGCAAGTCCAGGCCAATGCCAGGGAGTAGGGCTGCCTGAGCGCTCACTCTACTGTGGAAGAGTTTGAAGGTGCAGCGTGGAATCAGCCAGACCCCATGGGGGATGAGGCAGTGGGGGACTCTAACTAAGGCCGATGGGTCATGAGGAAAAATGTCTGAAAATGCGTCCTTGGCTGTTCCTCTGTAGGACAGCGTGATTGGTATCCTAGGATTGTACCCACAATTCTTTTCTCTGGAGCGATCTCATTCTACTCCTTGGTCACTCATAAGGTGTGGTATGGCATTTACCCTGACAGTGTGGGGGCAGGTTTGTTGTTATTGTTTTTAATGAAAGATTTTGAAGATACATAGAATCAGAGTAGAGCATGTCGGAGACGCCTGTTGACTGCTTACACCTGCTTCTGCACGAGCAGATTCTAAGCCAGGCTGGCTTTCGCCCCTCCTTCCCTGGGCGTGTTGGGCGAAGCCCAGCCAGCGCTCTATCGCTTCATCTGTAAATATTTTAGTAGATAGCTCAATATGTTTTAATGACAAAAGCTAAGAGACCAAGATGGCAAGTAGAACAACAGACAGCTTTTCCTTGATTGCAGCCGAGACCGACTGGAGCTCGGATTTCCCCGATAGATAGGCTCATGATTTCTGACAACTTTGAATTGATACTCATCAGGGTCCGTGGGTGGGAACGGCTGGCGTATCTCCTCAGTCTTTTGGTGTCTTCTCTCTCTATTCCTGCCTTCACCCCGGGTGGCTAGCTCACCAAAGCTGGAGCTCTCCCCTTTCTCTGTGAATAGTGTCCTGTGGACTCCCCATGTCTGCTGTCCATCCTCCATAGTGGTGGCTGTGACTGGTCTTGGGGTCAGACCTTTGATGGTATTGCTCTGTGTTGCCCTGAGGCATGCTGTCCCTGAGGTCACAGCAGTTGCTAACTGCAGTAGCTGAAGGGACTCTTGCCAGCCAGAGCATGGCAGACATGGTTCTGACAGGCTTTGTCCTTCTCCCCAATTCCCCCTGCCTTGCTAAAAGCCATTAGATTACATTTCTAAAGCTAGTCACCAAGGTCTAGTCCCTTATTTGTCCACTTCCTCCTTCTGAACTGACTACAAAAGTTCAACTATCAAAGTATTGACGTCCAGCAATCAACAACCTCCTTTGGCTCACCTAACTAATATGCCCTCTTAAAATTAAGCTCCTCATCCGAACACAGGATTTCTCCCTTTACCTTTATAAACTGTCATTTGCCTATGGGTCACTCATGTCTCCTCTGATTCCCAGAGGCAGTACGTCCCCCTCTCCAGTACGAACACCTCTGGTCCCCTCTCCCTTGTTCCCTTCCCCTTCTCCCTCCTCCTCTGTCTCCTGTCTTTGTCTCTTATTACCTGCCCTCTGTCTCTGCAGGGCAATTAGATGTCCTTTGTGCTGAGAGCTTGGTCTTGGGGTGTCCTGGGAGAATACCAGTCCATTCAGTCAGGCCGTCAGAGTGCTCACACTGGTCATTTTTGTACGTCTGTTGTTCTTGCTCCGTTGATTAACCAGTGCATTTCTGAAAACAAATTTCTCTTTGCTCTCTGGTTGCCTTGAGGTGTGGTTCACATGGGAAATACTAGATACATGGATTTCCCCGCCTTGTGTTACAGTTTTAGATATGAATAGAACTTTTCACCTGAGACCAGAGGGGTGCCTGCTCTGCTGTGTGTATTAGTACTGTGTCATCAGGAGCCCCGGGAACAAATTGTGATCATGGGTTTATGACCTATGTATGCGATTATAGTCCTGCCTCTGGGCTGTAGATGCCTCAGCCTTGACTTCTCAGCCTGCTCACAGTAGGACAAGATGTTTGAGCCCCCCTCATAAACACTTCTCACCCTGCGGCTGACATGAACCATATTTCAAGGCAGTTCTGGCTCTTTTCACTGGAAGTCATCTTTCGAGGACAATTGAGGATTACAGGATGGTCACTATAGCTGGCAGCCTTCATGCCTTAACCATTACAGTCACCAGGGCTTGGGAAGTTTGAGTCCAGACTGTAGGAGCAGACCTCTAGGACTCCAGGGTGGCTTTTGGACCTCAGTGAATCTTTACTGTGTCTTCCACTCATGACAGTTGGTTCTCGGAGGCAGGCAGCACCAACCTTACCCAGTTGTTTCATCTCACGATGATATATGCAGGTCTCGGGGGCACTCAGGAGGTAGAGGCAGGAGGACCGTAGGATTGGAGGCCATCCTGGGATACAGAGATAAGACTGTCAAAACAAATACCAAAATCTACAAACACTGTGTACCCTAGTGTGGAGGTACACACCTTTAATGCCAGCTCTCAGGAAGCAGAGGTGGCTGTGAGTTAGAGGCTAGCCAGAGCTACACAGTGAGAACCTGTCTCAAAAATAAACAAAATGCCAGGGTCACCTCCAACCTTGGGACCACTAAGCCAGTCTGTGTTGGGTTATGCTGGTTTTGCCCCTATGAGGAAATCTCACTACGGAATTATCAGTTCCTTTATTGGAATGCCACTTGCAAGGTTCCTCCCCCTTCGTGGTCCTGCCATCAAGGAGAGCAGGGCCAGCTTTATTTGTTCCTCCCACTCCCGATGTTTAGGGAGATTGCCTTTGTTTTGCTTGAATTTATTTTGACTTTATTTCAGACTTAGAGGAAAGTTGCAAAAATAGCACAAAGCGTTTCCACGTGTTCTTCATGCGGTTATTTCCTTTCCTCAAAGGGCAGCTCTTTGCCACACTTATTTGTCAAGCCCTCCTTCCCACCATCTAGCTGTCTTTACGTTTATATATACATGTGTGCGCCCACCCATTTATCTCCCACCCTCGTGTCCATCCGCCTCTCATCTGTCTGTCCGTCCACCCACATATCCATCCATATCTCTTTCATCTGTCTACCCATCTCTCCACCCACACGTCCGGCCATCTCCCTCCACCTTTCCATCCACATACCTACACATCTATCGACCTCCTACTTACCCATTAGTTCTCCCACCTACACATCCATCCATCTCTGACCCAGTCACACATCTATCCACCCACATCCATCTCTTGCCCGCCCACCCACCCACCGATCCATCTCTCATCCACCTACCCATCCATCCATTCATCCATCTGTCCGTCTATTTATATGTTTTTTCTGAGCTGCCTGATGGTCTGTTTCAGATGCAGTGCTTCTGAGTTTCAAGTACTCTGCCGTGTTCCCTAAGAGCAAGGCTATTCCCTTCTCTAGCCACAGTGTGCAGTGATCAAAGTCAGGAAATAATGTTGCTATGCCATTATCTGGTGTGAGCCTCACCATTATCTGATTAATGTTCTTTATAACAAAAGAAAGTTCTGGTCACGAGTAACCTCTCAAGGCTCCTTTTCTCGGCCTTTGTTTCCCGAACCAGGCGTTTTTCAAGGCATGCGGGTCAGTTGCCCATAGAATGGGCTCGGGTTTAGATGTCTGCTGTTGCTTAATAGAGACTCGGGTCATGTGGTTTTTGCCTTGAATGTCACAGACATGATGGTGTTTCTTCAGTGCTGGTCAGAAGGGACAAGATATCATCTCATCTCATTCTGCAATGCCAAGAGTTCCTTGTCAAATTAAATTCTTGTATCTATCTAAAATTACTGCGCTGGGGGTGTAGCTCAGGGCAGAAGGCTTGCCAAGCATGCTCAAGGGAGGCTCTGGGTCCCTTCTGCAGTGCTGGGGGAGGGGAAAAACACTCAATCCAATCAAATAAAAAGAAAATGTTTACAGTAGCATAAGTCTGTGGTCCCAGCACTAGGGAGGCTGAGCCAAGAGGTCCCCTGTGCCCTGGAATCTAATGCCACCCTGGGTAACGCAGTGAGACCCAATCTCAAAAGCAGGCAACACTGAATGGCTTACCTGGCTGCATTATCAAGTTATATCCAGAGAACTTGGGTCCCCTCCCATCCTCTCTGGAGTTCCAATTGTCTTCCAAGTTACTAGCTCCTTTACGGTTTTTGTGTTTGGTCACACCTTCCCCTGGAGATAAATGTTAGCACACTCATACTTTGTGCACACACGTGTTCCGTTCTGGCAGTCACTCTAGGCTGGTACCAGAGATAATCCCTGGTCTGTTTTCTGTCTGTGTCTCTAGTCAGGGTGTGGCTAATCTCCTAGTCGCCTGTTGGTGACTGATTATACCATCCTGAGCCTTCTGTACTGGGTGTTAGTACGATGCAGCTCTTCCCAGGCCATCTGCACCTTGTGGATGGGGCGGGACCTATTTTTATACCCCAGGCCTGATGTCTTGGGTGTGGTGGGTGCTGAATGACTGAAGAAATCGCAGGAAAGCCTGGTAGAGGCGGAGTTTGCACAGAGAAGCCTGTGACTCCTCCCAACATGGCATCCACCACATTTCCCAGCGTAATTCAGTGTTATAGAGTCTCGAGACACACAAATATGTTTCGGTTGTCACCTAGCCTATACAGCATGTGCTGGCCTGGTCATTCCTGTTCCTCTTGGTCTGCCGGGGAAATACTGTGTGCAGGGTGGAGAGAGCTGTAGGCTGGCCTTGAGATCTAAGCTTCCAGCTCTTATTTCCTCCCTTCCCTGGCAGCTCAGCTTGAGCTGTTTAGGGCCTTGGCTCTATCCATGAGTGCCTAAGTGATCAGTGTTCAAATTCTATTTAACTCTCGGCTGTACTTTCTCTCTGACAACAGGCTGTCTTTCTTCACCGAGGAGAAAAATAGCCCGAGTGCACAATAGGTTTCTTCGGTGATTAAATATTGAAGGGTACAGATGTTCCCAGGAGGAAGTGACATGTGATGGAGAAGGCGCAATGAAATGTACCTTAGCTACAGCCCAAGGCAGGGGTCTGAGCTTGTTAAAGACCTAAGTGACTGAATGGTGTCCATTTGCAGCGAGCCTGAGATGCGTTGCACTGGATTGTCACTTGTTGGACACAAAGGCGTCTCTTCCAGGGCTTCTGTAACTGAGTGTTTATTGTATTTATCGATCTCTCGCTGCGTGCAGGCTCTGGGAAGTGGGACTCGCCATTGTCGTAAAGCGTGCACACAGCCTCCACCCCAGAGCAACTTGGCATGGACTTGGATTTTGGCGGGGAAAGTCCTTCAGGCCTTTCAGGGGCCTCTTGGTTTGGGGGCTGGGCTGCAGAGCTTCTGAGTTGATACCTCCCTGGGGTCGCTTCTGCTGACACCTCTCTGATCAGGCTCGAGGAGGAGACTCCCCTAGGGGCTGTGCTTTGTCTCCCAGTCACTGCCACCTGTACAGCAGAGTAAGTGGGCTCCCATGGAGGGAGCCAGTGGATAGCAGTGATTCCTGAAGCCTGTGACTTGGAGGGAGGGGGGCCTTTGCTCCATAGCCCTTGATACTCCTGACAGCCCCCTTCCTGCTCAACACATAGGGGCCAGAGTGACTGGCTCCTACCTGACTTAACAGAGGAAGCTGGCTGGGAGGCAGGTGGTGGCCACTTCCCCTTCAGGGCATGATGGGGGTGGATCTTGCACACAGGGACGTCTGGGGTGGCTGATCCAGGTGATTAGAGGTGAGCAAGCCTGCCTCACGGTCAGGCTTGGGAAAGCGGAAGGCCTGGGAGCCATGTGATGGCTGCCAGTGTTTTGAAGAGTTGAGGCAGCTTTGAAGCCAGCTAGAGACAGAGCAAGGTGCCCAGGCCCACTCCTCCAGACCTGGGCCTACAGGTATTAGCTGGAGGGCCTGGCCTCCTACCTCTACCTCCTCCTGTAAGGTAAGTGTTGTAGATCTCAAAGATAAGCCCCAGGGACAGAGCCTGGATGAGTCTGGGTCTGTCCCTGGTGTGGAGTGGGGTGATACCAGTGGGAAGAAGAGGTCAGAGATGAAATGGGGACAGAAGGCTGAGATGAGCTAGACACAGCTCCGTACACATTTTTCTAGGAAAAAAAGATGAAATTGACCCCTAAGAAAAAAAGTAAAGATCTGACCCAGTAGGTCCAACAGTTTCATATTTTTGTCTGTGGGCATAACTTTGTGTTTTTCTAACATATGTGAGGCCCTAGGATCTATACCCAGTACCATGGTGGGGAGGATCCCAAAACCTTTGCTTTTCTAGATCATTTCTGTTGCTCAGTAAAATATACTCTGAAGTCTTTATTGCAGTTGACATAATTAACCCTAAGACTTCTCATTGCCCAGGATAGAAGTTTTTTTTTTTTTGTTTTTTTTTTTTGTTTTTTTTTTTTTTTTTGTTTTTTTTTTTTTTTTTAGTACAGAGGCTGAGCCACTCACCAAAACCCCCTGACTTCTGCCTGTAACTCATATTTCAGAGGAAAAAAAATCAAATACCTTGTTGCCGTTCCTAGGGCTCCGTCTCCTGCAATATTGGGGCGAGATGGTGAAGTCATACGTGTTCCTCTGTTGTGTCATGCTGAGGGCTCCCTGTCCCAGGTCTAGCAGGGTGCTTTGGGCAATGACAATTGATGTTCATGGGGTGTTCTAATCAGGAGCCACTGTCCCTCTCTGTGACCTCTCTTTGTACTCCTGCTCCATGAGCACAGTTCAGCCCCCAGGGTTAGGAGAGGGCGTCATCCTATCCTCCTCTGGATGGCATGACCAAGGGGGTCCTGTGTTTGCATTGCGAGAGAAGTCACTTGGGCTAGCAACCTTTATCCTTTCCTGCTCCCAGTGGTCCCCCGTGGGGAGCCTCATCTGGCAGGAGGGGTGTGTGGTTTAGCCCCATCGGAGGTAGCTGTTCACATTGGCATCCACCAACTGGAGTTTATAGGAGGTAGAGAAGGCAGCTGCTGCCCCATCTGTATGGTCCCAGAGCCTGGCCAGCTGTAGGGTGCTCAGTACACATCTGGGTGGCCGGCTGGTTGACTCAGCAGATCTCTGGCTGTATCAACCAGTGCTGAGCACATGGATGGAATGGCGGATAATGGGATGAGTGAATAGATGGATGGAGATGCTGCCCCACCCCCAGGCATGCCTTTTCTGCACATCTTGTGGGGCCTTACTAGCACCCCTGCAAAGCCGTTTTCCAGTGGTGTTTGGTCCCAGGCATAGTTTCACCTACTGCCTTGGCTCCCCAGCATGTGTACCCAACTATAGCCTCTGGGGTTCATCTCCCCTTGCTGGTGATGGGATAGTCCCACCTGACCTCCTGCCCATACTAAGCAGAAGTCCCGTATCTAGGAGTGAACTTGATGTTTTGAGAAAGTTTGGCTGCTGGTGCATGGTTGGAGGGACGTATCCACAGGATGTGGAGTGCATGGAGCAGACACCTAAATAAAATTGTGTAAATGGAATTCTGTATATTTGAGTACCACATGCGTGCCTGGAACCCATGGAGGCCAGCAGAGGATGTTAGATTCCCCAAACTGGAGTTACAGATGGCTGTGAGCCACCATGTATTTACTGGAACTCAAATCTGGATCCTCTGGAGTAGCAGCCAGTGCTCTCAGGCATTGAGTCATCTCTCCAGCCTTTGCCCTTCACCTTCCAGACCTTAGGGCAGACACTTGAATATTCACATCTCCGCCCCGTGCTAGCCAGGTCCTCCAAGTCCAACTCTTGAGCATCAGAGGCAATCTGCCACCTCAGTCCCCCATCTCATACTGAAGGGCCGTGATGGGTGGGTCTGGAAGCTAGCCATTCTGAACAGTAGTTCTTCCTAGAATCACATGTCTCTTTTTCCTTTCATTATTATTAATATTAATATTAATACTAATATTATTATTAATTCGCATCCAGGAAGGAAAAAAACCAAACCTCAGGGCACCACCCTAGTCCCGTAACTGACTCCCTCCCCTCAGTAACACGCCAAGCCCAAGCAGCCTGTCATGTTAGAATGTGAAGCATCCAGCACTTGGCCGCACGCTGCCGGCCTGCAGAACATTAAGCTTGGCGTTGACAGTTCATCATGCAGTAAATACCACCTCCGTGCAGCGCAGTGGACAACGCGGCGATAGTGAGTGTTAGGAAAACACGCAGGTTGTGGTGGACACAGAGAGCAAGGCATCCCTGAGTGGAGCGGCCTGGGGAGAGAGGAGCTTCACACAGCTGCTTCTCTGGGACTGATGGCGAAGGGATGCCCCGAGCTTGGGAGGTAACTTGTACCCAGTTCGTTGGGGAGGATAAGGCACCGTCTTTTAGAAAGGTCCTCCAGGATAACTGGAAGGGTAAATTGGGAGCAGTCTGTTCAGGTGCCCAGGTGTGCAGCCCAGCCTGGCCAGATACAGCTTTCTCTTTTCCCTCTGGGTGGCTTCTCCTCTGTGTGTGTGCTCCAGCTGGGTGGGGAGAGATGTTTTATTTAAGGCTTATCATTTGATTTTTTTTTTTTTTACCTCTGACTGAGGCTGGGCCTGTTGCATCTTGTGCCAAAGGGACTCCTGCTTGAGAGATCTGCTTTTACAGTTTTAAAAATAGCTTTGAAGTTGTTTTTCTTCCCTGTGGGCCAGGAGCCGTGGAGGCTGCGTAGCCTGGGCAGGCTGTGACCATGGGCTGAATTGAGTATCTCCTCTATGCCCCCTTGAATCAGCACACTAAGAGGGAAGGTATAGGTTTCTTTGGAGTCAGAGGTCCATAAATTACCTGCCCTTTGCCTTCTAGACCCTGGGGAGACCCTGGACGAAGTGGGTGGACAGGTGGCCCAACTGTGCCGGGCTCCTATAGTCAGCTGTGCTCTGTGTGGCATACTTGACTGTATCAGGTCCCTCTGACTTCAGGGGCGCACACTCTTAAGTTCACTTTGCCTCTTTGCTTTGGCGATGTCTGGCAGTTTCCACATAAGGTTGGGTAGGGGGATCGGAATGTCTCTTCCTTCTTAGGGTCCCTGAAGGTTGCTATCACAGATGACCTGGCATTTTTAGACTCGTGTAGATGTAAGGGTGTTCCTCGACACAGAAAGAGTCCCCTGGCCTTCTCTCTCCTCCACATGTGTTTTATGCGGGTGGGAATTGGGGGTGGCTCTTGTTCCCCAGGGACTGTCCTGGTTCCCTCTGGTCCTCTGCACCCGAGTCATCTTGCTTGTCTTCCCGGTAATTGGGTTGCTGGTTTGCTTGCATGGCTGTTGTGTGAGCAGAAGTCTAGAATTGGGACTTCTAAATTGTGACACTGATCCCTTCTTTTGAGGAACACCCTTGGAACTGAGAAATTTTGGGGACTGACTCATCCTCAGCAGCTGTTCTCACTCCCCAGCCTTCTTCAGGCTCCATGGCCATCTCTGCAACCTGGGTCATTCAGGGGCCCT